CCAGTGAGAAACGTTCCGCGGTGCAAAAATAAGTGCGATTAAAATGCGTTAATTTTTGTGTAATTAATTAATCTTAATTAACGCGTTAAAGTCCCGGCCCTAAAAATAATGTATTACATTATTGCCTCTGAATTGGATTATTATCGGATAGGGTAATAACTAACTACGTTTGAAAGCAGAAGTCCAGGGCAAATAATTGCACGTCTCTTCAGTGCGCAAACAAGATGCATTGTGGGACATGTAGTTTGTGGGCAACCTGCTTCTGTTAAGTGGCATGTATAATAAACGTATTATATTCTTTGCAAGCTCTTGCGGGGCCACATAAAATGAAGTCGCGGGCCGGATTTGGCCCCCGGGCCTTGAGTTTGACACCCCTGTGCTAGATAAATAAACTTGTATTGCCTGAAAGAAACACTCAGAATTCCAATTTGACATGGAAACTCCTCACTATCTTCTGACTTTTATTATGAAAATGACCGATTGTTCCTCCCTCCAGGTCCAGGGAGTTTAAGTCTCACCTCCCCCATCGTCCTGGAGAAACCAGAGAGCCTCCACACGGTCACCTTCAGCGAGGACACTGTGTGAGTCTCTCTGTTTCCTTCACAAACTCAATTCAATTATGTTCACTCTTTATTAAAACACTTTGTTCCGTTGCTGCAGACAATGCTCAGAGAAGTGTGTGATGAACAACTACTTCGGCATCGGCCTGGACGCCAAGATTTCCCTCGAGTTCAACAACAAGAGGGACGAGCACCCTAAGAAATGCAGGTGAGGACGCACGGAGACGTCAAAAACTGTTTTTTTCATTCGCATTCTCAATAAAACGGGTTACACATGACACAGGGTCAAGCCGTCTGCATCTGGGTCAGGGACATTTCATATTTTCAAAACAGCAAAAGAATTCAAACGAAAGTCAGTTTCAACAGTGAATTCAAATATTTTTCATTTTAGCATGTGCCCGCTGAAAAACTGATAACACTATAAGGCATTTGTTCCCTGCGGAGATCCACAACATCCCCACACTTGACGCCTTCAAAAGGGCCCTCAAGTCCCATCGGTCTGCCAAGGACTTTGGCCCCAAATCTATTTGTTGTTTTGTCTAACTGCCTTTTGGTTTGTTATGTTTGTTATGTTTGTTATGTTTGTTTATACTCCTGTACTTCCTTGTAAAGGGACCTTGGGTATTTTGAAAGGCGCTATATAAATCCAAGTTATTATTATTATGCATTTCATTGTACAGTATACACCCCTTGAAAATGTCATTCAGCAAAACAAGGCTATTTTCCATATGATATTCAAATCAATGACACAGTCACAGATAGTTAAAAATGTAATTATTGATCTACAAGGAGATTCCTTGTAGATCAAGAATTACATTTATATAATGGATATAGATTATATCCAGGTATAAAATGTTCAAACCAAAACTACAAACATTACATATTTTGTCTTAATAGCTTTTCATAGCATTTGACACCAGCATTTGTATTTTTGTATATATTCAAAAATACAAATGTTGGTGTCTACGCCAAAATGAAAGTGTGTATTGTAGTTGTAATCCTTCTGTCTCGCCCTGCAGCAGTCGCACTAAAAACATGATGTGGTACGGAGTCCTGGGGACCAAAGAGCTGGTCCAGAAGACGTACAAGAACCTGGAGCAGAGGGTCCAGCTGGAGGTCCGACACGCGGAGAAAGAGGAATATTTGGGGTGTTTTTCTTGTGTTTTTCCTTTTCCTGTTTGACCCCCTCTCTGTCTCTTCAGTGTGACGGCGTCCCCATGTCTCTGCCCAGTCTTCAGGGCTTGGCTGTTCTCAACATCCCCAGCTACGCAGGAGGCATCAACTTCTGGGGCGGCACCAAGGAGGACAATGTGAGTGGAGAGCAGGAAGTGACACCTCATAAGGAACTGTGTTGATTTAAAGGTCCCCTCTTCTCCATGTCTCTTCTACATCAACATGTGTCCCCTCTTCTTCATGTCTCTTCTACATCAACATGTGTCCCCTCTTCTCCATGTCTCTTCTACATCAACATGTGTCCCCTCTTCTCCATGTCTCTTCTACATCAACATGTGTCCCCTCTTCTTCATGTCTCTTCTACATCAACATGTGTCCCCTCTTCTTCATGTCTCTTCTACATCAACATGT